TAATTAAAGATATCTAACAAACATATAAAAGGTAGGAAATATTGATTCAATGTAGATGAGGAATACTCATTGAAGTATGTGCAATTTTCATTTGAATGTTGCAAAAGGTTTTCTTCTAAGTGAAAACTTTAGCAAAAACTTCCTCTGGAAGACTCTTTTGAGAGCCAGCATAACTTCCTTATTTCTAAGAGTATAGATCAGGGGATTCAGCACTGGAATGACAGTTGTGTGAATGATACCTGCAAACTTTTCCTGTATTATCGATTCAGCAGAAGTAGGAGGAATGTAGTTAAGCCCCACAGTGCCATAAAACAGAGACACTACCATAAAGTGGGAGGCACAAGTGGACATTGCCTTCCGGAGAGCATTACAAGACCGGTTCTTCCACAGAAGAAAGCCAATAATATAGAAGTAGGAAAGGACAGTGAGGAAGCAGGCCGCCATGGTTAAGCTGCAAGTGACAACAGAAACAAGCCACCGATTGATCTTTGTGTCACCACAAGCCAATTCCAACAGAGGCTTGACATCACAGAAGTAGTAATTGACTTTCTGAGAGTGGCAGAAGTTCAGGTGTGCAGTCATCACAGAATGCATCAAACCATAGAAGAAGCTGCTGACCCAGGCCACAGCGGCCATCAGAACACACATCTGGGGGTTCATGATGAGAGGGTAGCGAAGTGGGTTGCAGATGGCTATGAATCTATCAAATCCCATAAGGGTTAGCAAAAATGCTTCAGTACAACCCAGAAAGTGGAAAAAGTGAAGCTGAGTGATGCACCCTAGGAAGGATATGGTGCTTTGCCTGGAGAGGACGTTGGACATTAGCTTGGGCAGTGTCACTGAGGCACAGCAAATATCCAGACAAGAAAGATTTCCCAAGAAAAAGTACATGGGGGAGTGCAGTCTCGGCTCTGAGATGACAACCACCAATATGGCCTCATTTCCAAGCAGGTTTATCACATATAAAATGAGGAAAACCATGAAGATTACAGGCTGTAGCTCTTGAACATAAGTCAATTCCAACAAAAGAAATTCCTTCACTACGGTGTTGTTCTCCATTGCTTGGAAGAGAAAAGATAAGAGAGGCAATTAATGTTAGTCAGATAGGCATTTTGTGACAAATACCTCACAAAACAACCTATTGATAGTTGCATTTATTTGGCTCACTGTCTCAGAGATTTCTATCATTGTGACTGAGCAGAGTATCTCATATGAAGGCAACCAGGAAACTGCACAGTGCTTACAGTGGTTGGCTCTCTCCTTTTATTCTATCTGGATCCTCAGGCTAAGGGAGAGTCTGTCCAATATTTGGAGCAAGTCTTTCTCTTGATGCCAACTTCTCTGTAAATACCTCTCACAGATATATCAAAATGTAGACGTCACTATTCTCCTATGTATTACTTAGTCTAATCTAGTGTACAGTCAAGATTAATCATCACATATATACCTGAGGAATCAAAGTCAGTTTACAATTGAAATATCTGCCCACCTGAATTTATTGTTGTACTATTCACAATGTCCAGGTTATGAGTATCAGCCTAGATGCCCTTCAACACATGAGTGGATAAAGAAAATATGGGTTCATACACAATGGAATATTATTCAACGTACAATGAAATTGTGTCATACGAAGGGAAATAGAAGGAACTAGAGATTTTCATGTTAAAACAAAAATAAGTTCAACTCTGAAAGACAAATATGTTTTCTATCATATTTGAGTCTAGATAATTTAGCACAAAAAATTGAAGGAAGATTATTTTGGGTTAGGTTGGAACAAAGGGAGTATGGTAATAAGCAATAGTGATAGGTGGTGGATATGATCAAAATATATAATATTCAGGTATTAAAACATCACATTAAAGCCTATTGTTTACCTATGACAATAAGTAAATATATTGCAATATACATTTTAATTTCTATTGAATGGTCTTTGGTAAGCAGTTTTATTAGGAACATCAGAATTAAATTTTCAGCATACTTAACTGAGATGATAATCATTTCTTAGCCAGTGTAATACTGATACTTAAAAATAAAAAGGACAATCAGAATGCTAACTTCAATCTAAAAGGTTGACCATTTAGATTAAATGGTGGTATTTATGGGGAAAAGGTTAAGAACTGGGAACATTATTATATTCTAGCCT